CCTCTCACCGTTGTGGCCTCTCCCGCTGCGGAGCACAGGCTCCGGACGCGCAGGCTCAGCGGCCATGGCTCACGGACCCAGCCACTCCACGGCATGTGGGATCCTCCTGGACCGGGGCATGAACCCGCGTCCCCTGCATCGGCAGGTGGACTCTCAACCACTGCGCCACCAGGGAAGCCCTCCATCTTTTTAATGCTGAAAATTATATACTGAATTTTAAAGTTTGATGTTATAGCAATTTGTTCTTAGATATTTTTGAAAAAAGATTATTAATAAATAATGCAATAAATTACTAAGTCTGATAGTTAATTATACTGGAGAATTAATCCGTATTTATAAAGACAGAAATCTACTAGGTGCAGTCCATACTCACTTTATTTGAGTCCCTAGAATGAAAAAAGCACTGTTACCAGAAACACAACCCCTTCAAGTCAGTAAAGACAGTTTTGGGTATTTCACAGGTAAACTTGGGGACTGTTATTTTAGTGCCAGACCCAAGTTTTGGAAAATAATATAATATCACACTTAAGAAGTGAGCATCTATGAAGTAATGCATAAGAAAAATACTTTGTGTTTATGGTGACACATTCCATTCACATTATCAACAACGTGTCTTTTTTTTTTTAATATAAATTTATTTATTTATTTATTTTTGGCTGCATTGGGTTCGTTGCTGCACGCGGCTTTCTCTAGTTGCAGAGAGCGGGGGCTACTCTTCGTTGCAGTGCGCGGGCTTCTCACTGCGGTGGCTTCTCTTGTTGTGGAGCTCAGGCTCTAGCCGTGTGGGCTTCAGTAGTTGTGGCACATGGGCTCAGTAGTTGTGGCTTATGGGCTCTAGAGCACAGGCTCAGTAGTTGTGGCACACAGGCTTAGTTGCTGTGGGATCTTCCTGGAGCAAGGCTTGAACCCGTGTCCCCTGCACTGGCAGGCACTGAACAACCAGGGAAGCCCAACAACGTGTCTCTTTAAGTCATTTTTCTGTTCTTTTAAGAAGTGTGTCCAAACAATGAAAAAAAAAATTGTAACCAATCTCTCATAAACCCAAGTTGCTCGTGTCTAACTTATAAAAAAAATCCTTAGAAATATACTTTCTGGGTTTTCTATCACATTTTTGTTCCTATTGCCCTTCTTCTGCCTTCTTAACAGTTTTTTGTATTGGCTGTTTGCTGTCCAGTTGCTCAGCCTTTTAGGGAAGGAGGGTTCCACCCTGTCTCCCCCGTTGTAAAATCAGAAGAGGACATTTCTGACTTTTGTATCTTTCTACTGTCTTTAAATGGCTGATTTTTAGCTTGAGTTATGTCATTAAAATTATTCAAACATATACAGATGTATAAATAGATCTCATGGGCTTAATTAAGGATTAGTTAAGGAAATTAAGGAAAATGAGAACAACTCAGATAACCAAGAAAGGCATTTATATCATGTTGGTAACAGTAACAATAGCAGAGTTATGAGGTAGCTTACTACTTTAGAAGCCTTTTAAAATGTGTCATACCATGTAATTCTTTAATTAGAAATTTATATCTCTTTGAGATGGATAGAATAGATATTATTGTCAGTGTTTTTTACACCAGTGCACTTCAGTCTGCGGGCAGTGAGCATCACCTGGGATTTTTGTTAGAAATGCACATTCTCAGGCCTCATCCCAGACTTTTTGAATCAGAAATTCTAGGGCTAGCGTCCAAGAACCTCTTATAACAAGTTCTCCGGACTTCTGTTGTGGCGCAGTGGTTAAGAATCCGCCTGCCAATGCAGGGGACACAGGTTTGAGCCCTGGTCCGGGAAGATCCCACATGCTTCAGAGCAACTAAGCCCATGCACCACAACTACTGAGCCTGTGCTCTAGAGCCTACGAGCCAGAACTACTGAGCCCACGTGCCACAACTACTGAAGCCCACACACCTAGAGCCTGTGCTCCACAACAAGAGAAGCCACCACAATGAGAAGCCCACGCACCTCAAGGAAGAGTAGCCTCCGCTCGCAGCAACTAGAGAAAGCTCGTGCACAGCAATGAAGACCCAATGCAGCCAAAACTAAATTTATTTTTAAAAAACCCCACAAGTTCTCTAGGTAATTTTTTGTGCATACTAACGTTTGCAAAGCACTGATTGACATGTAAAAACGCTATGATTCATAGAAGGATAATTATACTATACTTAATGTCAAATGCTACAAATCAAAAACATCCAGGACTTCTGATCTGTGGTTAGGCTTTTTCCCCTATAGAGAAAATGTAATCCGTTTATAAGAGTAAGACAAAAATTAGGAAGGCTGCTGACTGTTAGTAGTAGCCTCATGGCAGATAGTAAGAGCTGAAGAAATGGTAGAAGGAAAAAGATAGATGTTTATTGAAAAAATGACTTAACCATGTAACTTTAACACAGGATTTCTTTTACAGTTTAATTTACCAGCTGGATATGTGGGACTGGTATTCCTGGGTTTGGCACTATCCTACGCCATTTCTTCACCACTGGTGGGCCTACTCAGTGATAAAATGCCAGTATGTATGCTTTATCGACATTCAAGAGTTACTTTTGTATGTCTAGACTGGTGGCTGTCCAACTGTGCTTCCTGAACTCTAGAGGTCCACTGATTAGAATTAAAATATTCAGTTTTTAAAAAAATTTATCTTTACTGAGGTATAGTTGACAAATAAAATTGTAAGATATTTAAAGTATACATCATGGTGATTTGGTATACATACACCCTGAGAAAGGATTCCCTCCACCTGGTTAATTAACATATCCATCACCACAGTTACCTTTTTTGGGGGGAGGGTGGAGAGCAGTGAGAACATTTAAATTTTAATATATTCAATTTTTTAAGCTGATGGAGAGGTTCCAGTGTGAGGTCTCAGTATGTGCCAACCTGCCATCACCCTGAGCAGGTTCACTTTTTAATTGCTTCATCTGGGAAAAGAGGAGGAGCCTTATGCTAAAACTGTTGAAAAACTCTTGGATTAGACTTTCTAAAGGAAAAAGTTCCCTTGATGCAAAAAAGTGGTTTGACCTTAATAATTAGGGCAGAGCCCCAAAAGTAGTTAGGACTTGACCAAGTTGAGAGGATAGAATTTAGTTTTTCTGTGGGAGTGAAAGGATTGGTCGTGTAAATATGCATCAGTTATCCCATAGCCATCCTGACAGAAAATCCTTCCTAGTCTCCTTTAACTAGGTCTAAACCGTTCAGTCCAGGTGACTAGTATACAGAGCTAGTACTGTTAGCCAGGTCTCAAGCTTCTATGACTTTAGTGCTTATTTTTGTGTTTCCCCTCTTAATTAGATGTGGGTATATATTTATGAAGACTTATTACATGGAGATTACTTGGTAATCCAGGTGGAAAAAAGCAAGTGTCTTAAACAGTGTTTGTAACTTACTTTTAAGGCATAGCCTTATATAACTGAATAGATATCGTACCCCTATAATTTTTAGCCTGTGTTTGAGTAGTTTATAAGGAAACATTTTATCTGGTACTTTTTAATAATGTGAATTTTCTAGATAGTGCATCTACTTGGTCATTCCTTGTGGTGACTGCTTTTTAAATTGTTATATTTGGAACAGTTTATCATGTGCAAAATCTACAATACAATCCCTTTCCAAGGAATACTTGTCCTTTGCTCCACCCCTGTCTTGGGGTATATTGCACTTGCTTTTGTGTTTACCATCTACCTGTTTTCTCTTACATGTAAAATTTTGTTTTTTCCAATGTATTTGGATTTTTTAATATCATGACTTGTGTTCTTCAATGATTTCTTTATTTTCCTGAACTATGGAAGATCTTTACCTCTAAGAGTTTCTGTGGTCTTTCTTTACCAGCATCTAAGGAAATGGCTTCTCGTTTTTGGAAACTTAATCACAGCAGGGTGCTACATGCTCTTAGGACCTGCCCCATTCTTTCACATTAAGAGGTAATTTTTTTTTCTTCTTTTGAATTTGTGGCAAAATAACATTAGGAATTATTTTTTAAATTTATGATATGCTTAGCATCTTTGAATCTTATTTAAATAATTTAAATAATTACCAGATTTAGGACTATATTGAATTGTTTGTTTTACTGACAGTATTACTGGATGCTAGCAGTGGTCTAGGCAAACAGGAATGCATAAAATCTGAATCAAATGATATCAAATGATAAAATGCTTATTCTCCCTTTGTATTTCAATTGTACATTTGTACTTTATTTAATTTTTTAAAAGTTTATTATTTATTTTTGGCTGCGTTGGGTCTTTGTTGCTGCATGCGGGCTTTCTCTAGTTGTGGCGAGCATGGGCTACTTACTCTCTGTTGTGGTGTGTGGGCTTCTTCTTGCAGTGGCTTCTCTTGTTGCGGAGCACAGGCTCTGGACGCGCGGGCTTCAGTAGTTGTGGCACACAGGCTTAGTAGTTGTGGCTCTTGGGCTCTAGAGCTCGGGCTCAGTAGTTGTGGCGCACAGGCTTAATTGCTCCACGTCATGTGGGATCTTCCTGGACCAGGGCTCGAATCCGTGTCCCCTGTGTTGGCAGGCAGATTCTTACCCACTGCTCCACCAGGGAAGTCCTGTACTTTATTTTAAAAGTAGCATTTGTTATCTACCTTTAGCTGATAGTTCTTAGAATACACTTTTGTTTTTTCTATTCCTTCTTGCCCCTTGAGGAGGGAACTAAATCAGTTTTGTTTCTGTATCATCCTTAGCATATAGTAGCTACTTAATAAAGCTTGTTTATTTTTTATTTTTATTTTTTTTAAACAAGATGTTGGGGGTAGGAGTTTATTAATTTATTTATTTATTTTTGCTGTGTTGGGTCTTCATTTCTGTGCGAGGGCTTTCTCTAGTTGTGGCAAGCGGGGGCCACTCTTCATCGCGGTGCGCAGGCCTCTCACTATCGCGGCCTCTCTTGTTGCGGAGCACAGGCTCCAGATGCGCAGGCTCAGTAGTTGTGGCTCACGGGCCCAGTTGCTCCACGGCATGTGGGATCCTCCCAGACCAGGGCTCGAACCCATGTCCCCTGCATTAGCAGGCAGATTCTCAACCACTGCGCCACCAGGGAAGCCCAAGCTTGTTTATTATACTTTATTTGCTAAAATAAATTGAGCTACTTAGGGCTTTTTAGGTACCTCTGGGACAAAACATGGTATGGAAAAAGGAATGATTTCAGTCTTTCAGATTGGGGTTTGTATTTGGGCTTTGCCCCTTCCTTGGTATGTGAACTTGAGCAAATCATTTAACTTCCAAGAGCCTCAGTTTTCTTATCCACCAAGAAAGCCAATAATAGTACTGTTGAAATAATTTTCTAGGCTCAAGACAGAGTGACTCCAGCCCAGGGTGCCATGTCAGCAAACCAAAACTTAGAAAACTTTCATGTCCCTGTAAATGCTCCTCTTGTCCAGAAAAGCAGTCTATCCAGTCACCCAGTCACCCCCAAACGCCAAGCCACCAACTGTGGGCCGCTCACCCCAAACAAGATGGACTGCGTAGCCCCAGACAATCAGATATTACCTGTTTTTCTCTTCCTTGTTTTTTTTTTTTTCGGTACGCGGGCCTCTCACTGTTGTGGACTCTCCTGTTGCAGAGCACAGGCTCTGGATGCGCAGGCCCAGCGGCCATGGCTCACGGGCCCAGCCGCTCCGCAGCATGTGGGATCTTCCTGGACCGGGGCACGAACCCGTGTCCCCTGCATCAGCAGGCGGACTCTCAACCACTGCACCGCCAGGGAAGCCCCTCTTCCTTGTTTTTTTTCCCTTATCCTGTAAGAGCTTCCTGCCTTCTATCCCATTTTTCAGTTCTCCAAAATGAGACCATCCACTTCATGAAGTGTTAAATAAAGTTTGTTTGTATCACCTAGATTGTCTTCCTTAATCATTTTTAACAGACTTACATGGCAGGGTTGCTGCAAGCATTCAGTAGAATAATGGATATGAAGTAACTGACGTAGGGCCCGACATGGAACACATGGCAGGTTCCTGTCACTTCCTTTACCATTTTCCTTCTGTGCCATTTTTCAGTCAGTGGAATTTCAAAGCCAAGTGCTTGAAGGAGCAACATTAACATTGACATTTTAACCAACTTTGAAAGGCTTTTACATGGTGATAAGGCAGGTCGACTCTAGGCATGTGACATGTGTGACCAAAGATATTGGGATAGCAGGAGAAATTGATCGTTTTCCCCCCTCAAAAACGTAAGGGGTTAAAAGGTGCTTTCACTGAACAAAATGGGATCAGATGGGGTTAAGGGACCAGACTAGTCATGTCATCTGTGAAACGCACTTCTCTGAGATCCTGCCCGCCCTCCTTGGCTTGAAGCTTTGTTGTCTCTTTAAATGTTAATTTTCCTCCAAAACTCTCTTGCAGTCAGCTCTGGTTGTTGGTGCTGATATTAGTCATAAATGGTATCTCTGCTGGAATGAGTTTAATTTCAACTTTCCCGGAGATTCTCAGCTGCGCACAGTAAGTTACTTCCATGGCTTGAAGAACTGTATTGTGATTAGCAATAAACATCACAAGCTTTCTTGAATTTCTCAATTTTGTAGGATGTTGGATATTTTTTTACAATACTAAATCTTCATGATTTCATGTCATGCAATATTGTGATATAAATAGTATAAGCAAAAATACAATAATGTAAATGATTATATATAGTAATATTAATACAATGATAGGTAAAATGGGCTGTGGGTAGAGGCTTGGCTTAGTTTACACCTCGGTATAGGTATACTTCTAAAAAGCTGAAGCATATATATGTATAACTGAAGCACTTTGCCGTACAGTAGAAATTAGCACAGCATTGTACATCAACTATACTCCAATAAATTAAAAAAAAAAAAAGCCAAAGCACAGTGGGAAGCCCTCAGCATCATTTCCCTCTCATAGAGGAGGTCCACACAAGGGCACAGAGTGACCAGGTAAATGGATTCTAGTGGCAATTCCAATGTGTGGGGTTTTCCTCCCTCACACCACCAAGCTGGATGTCCTGCAATTCAACTAATTCTGACACTATTTACCGGGAGATAACGTCAGATCCCACAGGTTAAGGGCTCAGTCTCACAAGAGTGCCCTCTGCTTCAGATGCTAATTTCAAATGCAGGTTGTTACCTATGTTTCTGACCGACTGGCTGTAAATCAGAGGTTCCAACGACCCCCTCCGTGGGTTCTCTTCATTTGCTAGAGCAGCTCATAGATCTCAGGAAACCAGTTCACTCACTCGCTGCTGGCTTACCGCAAAGGATATTAAAGGATACAGATCAGCAGCCAGATGACAAGATATATAGGGCGATAAGGTCCCAAGCAGCAGAGCCTCTGTCCTTGTGGAGTTTGGGGCCCAGCACAATGGCACATGGAAGCATTGTGGCTTCCCAAGCTGGAAGCTTTCTGAACTCAGTCCTTTTGGGGTTTTATGGAAGCATCACTACATATGCATGGTTGATTAAATCATTGGCCATTGGCAGTTGATTCAACCTCCACCCCCTCTCTCTATGGGGGAGGGATGTGTGGGGCTGGAAGTTCCAACCCTCTAATCACGTGTTGGTTCTCCAGGCAACGTGGGTGCTAGTCCCAAAGTCATCTCGTTAACATAACAAAAGACTTTTTTTAATGGCTTTCATCACTTAAGAAATTCCACGGGTTTTAGGAGCTGTGTGCCAGAAATGGGGAAGAGGACCAAATGTATCTTTGTCACTTGGCCATCAGTCTTTTGTTTAATAGGCATAAAGATGGAGAACACAAAGTGAACTTGAGCAGGGAGAACACTGATGGCTCTGCTGTTGTCAGTTCAACAAGCCCCAAAGCAATGAGGAGCTGCCTCTGTATTTTCTAAAGGTTGCTCATCGTTCTCTCTACCTGTTCATCTCATTTGAAGAATTTCTTAGTTAATTATATACTTTAATAAGCATTTAATGCAAGTGGGTCACAATTCTTAATATCTCTCCTGTATATGCAGTAGAAGTATTTTTAGAAAACCCTGGAGGAAATATTACTATAGTAATATCTTCAAATGAGATTAGCTTTTTGTTTTAGAAATGGAGTGTTCTTGCTGTTGGGTTTATCCAGATTATCCCTGGTTTATTTCTATACCATACACTATTCTTTTGTTTTATGCAGGTTTCCCTTTTAACCACAGACACACTCTTGTTTCTCTTTGCAGTGAAAATGGGTTTGAAGAAGGGTTCAGTACCTTGGGACTTGTGTCAGGTCTCTTTGGTGCATTGTGGTCAGTTGGGTGAGTGGCTATTGAATTTCATTCACACCTGTAAGTCGGAAAATGCTATCCCCATTTTACAGATGAAGAAATTCAGACGCTGAGAGGTCAGATGAGTTGCCAGAAGGCACATAATTCACTTAGGGCAGAGCTACAGTTCTAATCCAGCTGTCTGACTTCAAGATCAATGGTTATCCCACCAGTTTTAAGACATAATCAAAATGGTCTCATATACTTTGTCTTATTTAAGTGATATTTTAAAATTCCTTTAACAGGAGCCTGTCTCAGTTTTGAAAATGTATTCATTTATTCATTCATTTGTGTATTTATTTTTAACTCTCTATACTATACCAGAGGGATAACTGTATGCTGGCCATGTAGCTATCATCAATAAGTATGTACTGAGTTGTTACAAATATCCAGAAGAGTAGAGAGAATAATATAAAGGTTCTTTTGAATGCATATCATCTTTTAAAAATTTTCATATAAGGCACCAACTTTTCAGAAGCAGTTATAATTTTAGGATTGTTTAAAAATTTTAAACATCATCATTATCAGGTAGAATTATTTTCTTACACCTAATGCTCTGTCCAGGAATTGGCTTTTTTCATTAGTGTTTATAGTTTCAATATAATGAATTGAAGCAGTCATGCAGCCTATAAGGAGTAACTTTTTTTTGGCACTATAATCCTCTTTCTTCTTTTCATTGTTAGTGCTTTTGTAGGACCAACGCTGGGAGGATTTCTGTATGAGAAAATTGGTTTTGAATGGGCAGCTGCTCTGCAGGGTCTCTGGGCTCTGACAAGTGTGAGTAATTAGTCTTTTACTTTCATTTTCCTTATGTTTATGGAGAAATGTGACTTGGATAATTGACATTAACCAGTACCTTTCATTGTGTTAAAGGGACTAGTGATGGGCTTGTTTTATCTGCTGGAGCATTCAAGAAGAGGGAGGTATGGTCAACTCTTGAGTTTCTTTTCTCCCTTGAAAAGTTGGCTTGTGGGAGTGGAAAAAAGACACCATTTTACATCCATTCTTCCACTCTGGAGATTTCTGGGCACTCTGAGCCTCATCACTTGATAGACACATTTACGGAAATAGTTGGATAGAGATGTAGGTACTGAGTTTTTTTTTTAAGGTGAGAAATATTGAGGTTGGCCTCTTCTTTCCTTCAACATAGATCTAAACTTCAAAATAGCCTCAGCACAGAGGAGGAACGGGCTGCTCTCTTGCCTGATGAAACGTAGCCTTACCTTAGGAATTCCTACTGATACGGGGCTGGGAGATGGATGCTCCTGGCCTTGAACTTCATCGCTGGAAGGATTTTCCTAATTTTTACACACAAAACTCCATGGACTCCACACCAGCATCCTGAAATTGTTAGCATAGTTTTGGATGATCCTGTGTTGGGCTGCACATACTGTTGTCCTGAAGAGCTGGCCTACTGAACCAGCCGTATTTGAAACCTTAAGTATGCGAAGAGTTGTTGAAAATCAACAAAAGTTTTTGGTTTTGAGTGACCGGATTTGGCCCTGAGGATGTTACTGACTCTAGGTGTCCTGTTTCCTCTGTTTACTTTTTTATTCTGAGGGCACTGATTCTGTGACTGTACCCTTTTTATTAACAGGGAAAGAAATGAATTGATTTGATATGCTTAAAAATAATATTAAGATAATTCAAAATATACAGAATAATTACTGTGAAATCAGTTTTTAAAATATTTGCTTTCTCTGTGTCCTAAGATTTTTTTGTTTTTGTTCAAAAGGCAAAATTCCAGCCTACCATGGAAAAGCTCTATTGCATACCCTGGCCATCAGCTCTTCTAAAACTTTTGTTTGTGTGAAAGATACAAGAATAATATTACTTAACACTTCCAATTTTGTAACATGCTGTGAATTAGGATCTGGATTTATAAATAATGCTTGGTATAATATTATTCATTTCCCTTAATGTCTCTGTTTTAGTTCTGTCACTTTTTTTTAAACCAACATACTCCCAATAGATGTATCCCATTCCCAGAGCAAGTGAGCCCCCAGGAATGCTTGTTCTATGTTAGGGAAGGGGTTCTTCTGACTTCAGGTAAAATCCATGCCGTCGTTTGAAGTGAGTGAATCTCTGCTGTGCAACTCTCATACCTCCTGATCCATTTTCATGCTGTAGTAGCCCCATTTACCCACCCACCCCTTTTTAGTAGAAGAAATGTTTTTTATCTGTTTATTAATTCAAAAATATTTATTGAATGCCTTCTCTGAATTGACATTGCACTTGATCTTACAGATTTATCTGTGATCAAGATAAACAGAGTCTAGTCTTTATGGAACTAATATTCCAGTGGAAGGGACAAGCAAGAAATAAATACCAGAATCTCTAGTTATCTTGCAGAGATGCTATGATGGAAAACAAAAACAAAAACAAAAACCTGGTGATATGAAAGAGTAATTGGCTGGAGCTGATTAGGTGTGAGGATCCTCGTTTAGATAAGGCCTTGAACTGAGCTCTGAAGGATGAGAATGAGGCAGCCATTCTGAGGGGAGAGCCCTCCCTAGCATGTGCAAAATGGCTTGACATGGTCAAAGAGAAGGCCGTGGCCCACATGGCTGGAGTCTAGTAAACAGAGGAATTTGGGTAGGGGAGAGGAGCTGGCTTTTGAATGGAGGATTCTAGAATTTGATTCATATTTCAAGAAGGTCATTGTGTTTGCATGGCCAAGGTGAGTGGGGATGCGGATTTCCAGGGGTGGAGGGAAATCTTTGGAAGCTTTGAGAGAGACATTAATGGTTTGGATCAGGAAGGTGGTGCTGAAGTAGAGAAAAGGATGTGTTTGCAAGTAGAACCAACAGGGTTTGCTGATAATGGACAGAGAAGGGGAGAGAAATTCAGGAAGACTCCTAGGATTTGGCTTGAGGGCATGGGTGGTCAACTGGTGCCTCTTAGTGAAATGGGGAAGAATGGGAGAGAAACAGATCTGGAAGAGGCACATGTCACCCCGCCATTAGGAAAAAGTAAATAAAATCGAAAGGATCACAATACCCAGGTTGGACAAGATGGACAGCAACTGGACCACGGACTGTTTTGGAAGACTGGCATTAGTTCCCCAAACTGAATAGTCACAGTTCCCATTAACCCTTCACTCTCCTTCCCCCCAAGTCCCTTCTGCCTGAGAACTCCAGAGGCTGGTCCCTTGCCTGCCAAGCACAAGTGGCCTGTCACCCGCTTACCGGAGCGGCACCAGGACGAGTGTGACCCCAGCCCCCTGCACTCGTGTGCACTGCGGAAAGGGCCAGGCCTCGATCTCCAGGGTTAAATCGTCCTGGCCCCTCTCCAGGGCTTTCCTTCTTCGGGCGCGCAGGATGCAGGCTAATGCGGGGCCTCCCCTCGTCCGCCCGGTGGCCGAGGATGCCGCCGAATGCCTGTAGTTCCTATTTGTACCACGTGGGGCCGCTATGAAAGCACCGCGGGGATCCAGCAGCTCAAAGCCGGGCCGCGGCGCCCGAGCTTGCACCGCTCCCACCCGGCGTCCCTGCGTCACTCAGGGCTGTCAGCCTATTACCGTTACCAGCGCTGTTGACTGTTGAGACTAGTTCAAGGTCAACGCAAAGATTCCAGGCTTACTGGCTAGAGAACTTTTTGTTCCCCTTCCCAACACGCCGCTGTCAGTACCTACTGTGGATACCAGTGTATTTAAAGCCGCTTTGTACAAAAACGACTTTGCCCCTTCCTCATTTTATGAAGTATTAATATTAATGACAAAAAAGTTAAAAATATGAGAAACAATAGCAGGACTTTGAACCTTTTGAAACCAAAAGGTAGGTCAAAATTATCAACGGAAACCTGTGTATGTGTTTATATTTATATATATTTATATTCATCTAAATGTAACAAAGTGCCCTTTAAAAGCACTTTTTAAAAAATGAGACTGAATGTAGAATATAATAAATTAAAAAGTATCTTTTATGTTAAGGTCACATTGCAACCTATACATATATGACATACAGACTAATCCCAAGGAAAAATAAAAAGGACAAATTTTTTTAAATCACAAATCGTTTTTTCAATTAAACTTTTAAAAAATGTTTGAGGTAATTGTTGATTCCCATGCAGTTGTAAGAACTAATACCCAGAGATCATCTGTACTCTTTACCCAGGTTCCCCCAATGGTAACATCTTGCAACACTTAACAGTACCATATTATAACTAGGATATATTGGTAGAGTCGAGATAAAGAAAGATTCCCAGTCTTCAGTTGCCCATGCTGCTACTTTTCTCTCACCCTCACTCCCTCCTTAATCTCTGGCAATCACTAATCTGTTCTCCATTTCTGTAATTTTGTCATTTCAAGAATCCTGCATAAATGGAATCCTATTGTATGTTATTTTGGGGGATTGCCTTTTTCATTCAGCAGAATGCTCTTGAAATCCATCCACATTGTTGCATGTGTCCATAGTTCATTTCTTACTGAGTAGTATTCCACGGTATGGACATACAGCTTGGTTATTCATCCATTGAAGTGCATCTGGATTGTTTGTGGGTAAAACAAATAAAGGTGCTATGAACATTCATGTACAGGTTTTTGTGTGAAGATGTCTTCATTTCTCTGGGATAAATGCCCAGGAATACAACTGCTGAGTTGTATGGTAATTGCATGATTAGTTTTTGTTCCCCAAATCACCCATATATTTTACATAGGAAATTTGATTTGGACAATAAATATTAAATATCGTACATTAATGCAATATTCTGTTGTTTATTAAGTTATCAAGATTTAAATATGTTAAACATACCTTCTCATATCTAGCTGGCAAAAGAGGTGGGTAATAAATACTGACATAGCCAACTAATTTTCATTAAGTACAATTAATAAGTGAGAAGTAAAACCGATATCTTTTATTTATATACGATCATAGCAAAAGGGAATGATCCAAAGACTATGATAGTTAGCTTTCCTTTGGTCTCACTGTCATATATCCTCAATTTGTGAAATAAACATGCAGGAGAGTAAGAAACAACATACCTAAGACAGAAAAAATAAAATGTCATCCAAAGTATTAACAAATGAAACAAAAGCCTACTTATTCAGTTTTTCATTAGGAACAACTTGCAACTCTTAAAACATTTGCACTAGTTTCTTTCAGAAAATCCGCAGCTCCACTTTGAATCCCAGTTTATTTATAGGTGACAATCTGAGAAAGCATGATGTTCAGTAATAACTTCTGGTTTATAGTTTAGTGCAATTGCATCAGCAGTACTAAAATAAGCCAAATGCATTTCTGGTTGATCATGGTCAACAGTAGCACAAGTACAAAAAGCAGTACATTATTATCATTTTTAAGTTTTTGTCATTTAAGATAAATTTGAATACCAAATCAGTTAAGTCACATTATTATATGTTTCAGAAATGACAGCCGTGAGGGACTTTCCTGGCTGTCCAGTGGTTAAGACTCTGCGCTTCCACTGCAGAGGCACCAGTTTGATTCCTAGTCGGGGAACTAAGATCCCACATGCTGCCCATTGAGGCTAAAAAAAAAAAAAGATGACAGCCATGAAATCAGTTGTTGGATGAATATGAATAGGGTTTTTTTCTTTTGAGAATTAAAACCAGTGTAGGTATATATTTCATTTGAACATATTGACCTGAGACAAATAGACAGCCAGATATTTCTTCAACAAAGATGGGTTTATTTAGAATCAATAGAGAATTGCAATTCAGGGTTTGTACAAGTGCCCACACAGCAAGGGAAGGAGAACACTTCTATAGATGGAAAAAGGAAGTTGGGAGGGCTCTGGTAAACAAACAACCCATGGTGTTTCGTTGGTTGAGTTCTTGCCAGGAAAGAAGATGAATTTTTCTTTTCCCTGTTGGGCTCTGCTATCCTCGCAGGGTGTGAGGGCTTCCTCTCTGGTCTCCCAACTTTATTGAGATTTCTGTTTATTAATTTTTTGCAGACATCACACTAATACTTTTCACTTTCAGAACTTAAGTGAAATGAATGGCTATATTCATTTCCTCTGTTGCTTTCTCTTGCTGTTACTGGTTTGCCTTTGCCTCTTTTATTTACTTATCTGATAAAGATCAGAGTTACCTGGTTGTTGATGTGTCCATTCCTAAGAGCTGGGTCCAACCTCTAGATCTGGAACACGAATAGTGTGAGGAGAAGGGTGTGCATTAAGTGGCACTGCCATCTGGTAGTAAGGAAGCTGCAGGATTTAATTTCATGCATGTCACTGAAACTCTCTGAAAGAACAAATATTCTTGTAAAACAGCATCATTAATTGGAAAAAAAAAACTGCATAATAAAGGAAGATCTGCTCACACTTTTCCATTCCTGTACCTGGTGAATGTGTCTTAATGCAGCTCTCAGGACTTTGGTTAGTTGATTCAAAAGAGCAAGAAGTCCCAAACAGGGCTTCCCTGGTGGCGCAGTGGTTGAGAGTCTGCCTGCCGATGCAGGGGACACGGGTTCGTGCCCCGGTCCGGGAAGATCTCACATGCCGCGGAGCGGCTGGGCCCGTGAGCCACGGCCGCTGAGCCTGTGCGTCCGGAGCCTGTGCTCCGCAACGGGAGAGGCCACACCAGTGAGAGGCCCGCGTACCGCAAAAAAAAAAAAAAAAAAAAGGAGGGCCTGGTTTTTCTCTTTTGTTTACTTATTTTTTGATGTCATCTTTGCTGCTTATGAGGAAACGCCATCAGTGACTGTACATGCTATTTCCAACTCTTTGTTAATGTCATTTCACACCTGGGAGAGGGGCCAGACCAGGAAGTTCTGAGGCCTGAATCAGAGCCAGGAGCCACTCCTTGCCTTTCTGGGGCCTTGGTGCTCTTACGATGCCTTCGCCATGCCGAGGATGTACATCTGCCAGGCCCAGCTGGGCATGGTCCAGGAGTAAGTGCCCAGGTGCTGTGTTCCCCATCCCATCCTCAGCACAGTGCCCCAGACAGACCAGATTTGTCCAGCCGAGCAATAGTAGCTCTGTGGACCTAATGATGAATTATGGAGTCAGGATCATTACATTACTAAATTGTCTCCCCTTTTTGTTAATTATTGTCATCCCATCATAATCTTGCAGAGGACTTTCATATGTCTTTGACTCTCAGAATAACTTTGTGAAGGTGATAGAGCAGGTATGATTACCTGAACTTTTAGGTGAGAAATAGAGTTTCAGAGAAGTGGAGTGCAAAGCAGAAACTATACTTCTGCTCTTCTTACTTATTACAGCCAGAAAACCAGGTCCAGTTGAATACTATTTTAAGAGATGATCAGATTCCCAGTTAGAAACAAATATTTGAACTATGTCTATTTTTTTTATAGTGGCCCTTTGACCATATAATTTTGAATTGATTGGAATTTTCACCCTTGTAATCAAGTCCATTAATCACAAATTGGTAAATTAGTAAATAGGTCTTATTAGCAGTGACCAAGACTTAATCAATGTACCCTGTGGCCAGGTAACATTATTTTATAACAGAGTTAAGTTAATTAAGCCTTACTTAATCAACCACCTTTATGAGCATGAAAATATAAACTCTTAAAGTTCTATGTCCTGAATTTAGTCTTTTACCTCTGAAGATTTAAAACAATATCAACTGCTTCTATGACAAATGTATGTAAAAAATATTCACTTTTTCCCTTATGTCTTATGGATTTTTCCATATTTAAATTATTGTTTCATTTACTAGCTTCTGACTGTTCCATGCCACTGTCTTTGTTACTCAGATTCTCAGTTTTTATGAGACAATTTCGAAACGCTTCAGAGAAAAAAAGGAGCTTAATCACCTTGGCTTCACATCAGAAACCATTTCCCCTTTTGCCCTCCAGCCAAAAGACCCGAATAAACAAGACACTATTTCTCTTGTTTATAGCAACAAAGAGAGAAAAACCTCCAGGAAATTTGGGGACACTGAGATGCGAAAGACACATATGATTGTTTCTGTTCTTACCCTCCAAAAGTAAAGATGTTAGCTTATCTTCACCAGCTTACCTAACTACTTATGAGCAAGAGATAATGAATTATTACTAATTGGTGAGATTAAATCACAAAGAAGTAGATCATGATCCAAATTATATTGATACTTGTAGAAATGAAAGAGCTTACAGTTCTCAATTGCATCAAGTACTCACTCAGTATTTAGATTTAGCTGTGGTCTTCCTAAAGTGGTCATTTTGAATGGAGTTCCTTAAAAGATACAAGTGAGGGACTTCCTTGGTGGCGCAGTGGTTAAGGATCCTCCTGCCAGTGCAGGGAACGCAGGTTTGAACCCTGGTCTGGGAAGATCGCACATGCCGCGGAGCAACTAAGCCCGTGCACCACAACTACTGAGCCTGCGTCCAAGAGCCCGCGAGCCACAACAAGAGAAGCCACCGCAATGAGAAGCCCGCACACCACAACGAAGAGTAGCTCCCCTTCTCCACAACTAGAGAAAGCCAGTGTGCAGCAACGAAGACCCAATGCAGCAAAAAATAAATTAAAAAAAAAAGATGCAAGTGAGTGTCCAGACACTTGGATGCAGACATTAAAGCAGAGTACAGACTCGTGCATGATGTCTTGGGTATCAGGGAAGATTCTGGAATCAGGAGTGAAAAGTCCTATGCCCTGCTCTAAGTCTGCCTCTCTATGCCTCAGGTTCCTGTCCTGTAAAGTGTGGGCATTTGCGTTACGTGCTCTGTAGACCCTAAAGTCACTCATAATCTACTATATAAAAATAGATTTTAAAAATCTCTTCCCCTTCACACTATCCACTAAAAGGCTTGACCATTTTTCTAAAAATTATTTTCAGTTTTCTATTCTATAGAGGTAAGGAGTTATTTCTTTACTAAAAATTTCTATTCAAAGCAGAAAATATGAGCAGACCTCGTTTATAGCCCTTAGATCTCACCTATATCAAGACTTATCTCAGTATGAGAGAAAACATAAAAGAATTTTATTCATTTGTTTCTAATCTTCTATGCCGTCTAAAAGTATTTAAATGAAGAGACTCAGATTAAAAAACAAAATCAAAAACCGAAAAACCCCACTAAACTCTTGTGTGATAGGGTTGGGACTGGGGAGGGGAGAATATGGATGTCCTAGGAGGTTATCAGAGGTCACATAACATACGCGTTTTTTTTTTAAAGTTCATTTATGTGGTTATATGCCTCTAACAAAAATGAAAATTACATCTTATCTGGGTTATAATAGAGATGATCTTTTTGGTTGTTGTTTTTGTTTTTTGTTTTTTGCGGTACGCGGGCCTCTCACTGCTGTGGCCTCTCCCGTCGCGGAGCACAGGCTCTGGACGCGCAGGCTCAGCGGCCATGGCTCACGGGCCCAGCCGCTCCACGGCATGTGGGATTCTGCCAGACCGGGGCACGAACCCGTGTCCCCTGCATCGGCAGGCGGACTCTCAACCACTGCGCCACCAGGGAAGCCCAATAGAGATGATCTTTAAAATCACAAGCCGGAGGGAGATGCTTCCCTTCCCTTCCATCTATCTCCAAAGAAAGGAAGGAAGGGGGGAAGGAGGGAAGAAAGGAAAGAAGGAAGGAAGGAAGGAGAGATGGATGGGGAGGAAAGGAGTGGGGGAGGAAGGAGGCTTAGTCCCCGGATGGCTAGGGCCCCCTTAGCAGAAGTTCTTGATTTCTCCTCTGGCTAAACACCAGGGACCAGCACCCGGAGGATCAGTGCTTTGGGTACTAAGGATGCAGCAGTGAGCAAACCGGACACAAAATCTTGTTTATATGGAGTGCAAGTTCAGAGTCTTTAATAGGTAAGTCAGAGTGTTGACTTGGGTGAATTTTGTTCCCAATATTGCCCTGTATTGCATTTTCCTAGTAGTAAATATTTAAAAATTTTTTCTTCTCTTCTAAAAATAAACATGATGTAGATCTGTCAAAAGAACAGAAAAAAATTATTATCTAGTTTTTGTAATTTAATAAATGAGATTTGTTGTATTATGGTTTTTCACATGAGAGTTAATTTAGTTACTATTTTCTTTCTATTAATAAAAGGGTGCAATTGTACTATATTTGAATTTTATCTTTTTGAAATTTAATCTTACCAATAGTACATGTACAATCTTTGTAATACTTTTTGTTTGTTTGTTTTGTTTTTTGCGGTACGCGGGCCTCTCACTGCTGTGGCCTCTCGCGTTGCGGAGCACAGGCTCCCGACGCACAGGCTCAGCAGCCATGGCTCACGGGCCCAGCCGCTCCGCGGCATGTGGGATCTTCCCGAACCGGGGCACGAACCCGTGGCCCCTGCATCGGCAGGCGGACTCTCAACCACGGCGCCACCAGGGAAGCCCCTTGTAAGACTTTTTGATTGTATTCAGGGAACTGAAATTTTTTTCCTCCAAAATGAGCAGGCATAATATTCATGAGATTGTAAAATAAGAGCTGGCAGTCATGTTACCTAAATGTTCCTTCCTTTATAAATACTACATGAATGTTACTTTCACTTGCAGAACTCACTAGACCTTGACCATGATCATTTCCTCTTTTCAAACCTCCGTGGCAGTTTTTGCCCTAATTATTCTGCATGTCAGTGCTTTGGATACTTTCAAAGCTGCAGTATATGAACATGCTGTCATATTGCCAAATGACACAGAAACACCCGTTTCTCAGGATGATGCCTTGCTCCTCATGAACAGGAATATAGGTATTCTGGAGAGAGCAATTAAGCAGGCTGCTGAACAGGTATTCTTTTATTTCTGCTAATCATAATTTATGAGGGGCATGAGAGCTGGTGAAGATTGGAGTGTTGAATTGTCTACATACATAGAGAAATAATTTTGATTTAACTTGTTTTGAACAGGGTGCTCAGATCATTGTGACTCCAGAAGATGCAATTTATGGATGGAAATTTACCAGGGAAACCATTTTCCCTTATCTGGAGGATATTCCAGATCCTCTGGTGAATTGGATTCCATGTCAAGACCCACACAGGTATTTGAGTTATCCTAGTTGTTTGTACAAAAGTGCTGTGGTTCTCTAAAATGTACATGTTCACTTCAGCAAAATGATAAATTCTGAATGATCATGTATGTGGTGTATGTTATTGTTTTATATTTATATATATATCTTGGCATTCATTAGATTTTTAAAAATTGTACCTAGATGTCATTTAATAATTATTTATAATCTAGTATCTTTATTAAATTTGGAGAAATATAAAAATATTTATTACTGGGATTAGAAACTAAGGGGAACACGATCTCATGAATATTAATTTCTCATGAAAATTAATTTCTGAAGTGGACACGGGGTTGTGTTTGGAAAATATTCCAAGGTCTCTATTGAAGGTACTATATTTCAATTCATAGTCTCTCTGCTCTAGAATCTGTTTCCCAGGCAGAAAGGCCTCACTATCTACTTTCTAGTGAGACTTTATGTTTTGAAACTTTGCATTTTCCTAGGCTCATAAAGCTAATTTTCCTGGGAAAAAGTAACCTAGAAATTTTCTAATGTAAAACATTTTATATATGTGTGTATATTTAATATATAACTCCTACTATCTACTAAGGCTTGAATTATTGAGGCATGGATTGCACACTTCCATACTGGCAGTAAAAAGTCCCTCACTCTTTCACACTCCTTCTTTCTCAACTCTCAAATCCTCTCACCATCTCTTACCCTCTTGCACTTTCTCTCACTCTTGTACCTCAAATTAAGTTTGTTAAACATCCCTTTGCCATGTTCTTGCTGGAGGATTATGGATACCACGCTTTTTGAGGCACTCCTGGTTAGTGTAAATTTTATATAAGGGTTATCAGAAAACGGCTTTTCTCAGCTCTAAAGAGACTAACTGCGCAACGAGGAGAATATCGGGTTACATGACAGTCAACAGCTCCACTTGCCAATCATTCCTGTTCTGAGCTGATGCTTCCTATGATGTTTGTAAGAAACACTTTTGTGGAAGAAGAGAGGCAATAGCTGGGCAGTCTTTCTTTTTTTTTTTTTTTTTATAAATTTATTTATTTATTTTGGGGTGTGTTGGGTCTTCGTTTCTGTGCGAGGGCTTTCTCTAGTTGTGGCAAGCGGGGGCCACTCTTCATCGCGGTGCGTGGGCCTCTCACTGTCTCGGCCTCTCTTGTTGCGGAGCATGGGCTCCAGATGCGCAGGCTCAGTAGTTGTGGCTCACAGGCCTAGTTGCTCCGCGGCAGGTGGGATCTTCCCAGACCAGGGCTCGAACCCATGTCCCCTGCATTGGCAGGCAGATTCTCAACCACTGCGCCACCAGGAAAGCCCTGGACAGTCTTTCTGCCTAGAAGGTTTGAGAAGGGGGACAACCCATTTGTTTTCATCTCACAGTAGGATTGTAAGATGAACTTCCTGTTAAAAACAACATATGTTGCAAATTTATGGACTAGTCAAATATCACAGTAGCTATAGAAACTGGTGACATTTGGGGGAGAGGTCTATTCCATATGGTTATTAAATACCTCTTTCATAGCACTACACTAGAAAAAAGAAATTTTGTCAGAAAATGGGCTTGTGTTGTCACCCAATACAGTTACATTTAATTCATTTAACTATTACTTATTGAGCATCTACTGTGTGCAGATACTATTTTAAGAATAGGAGATATAGCACTTATTAAAACAAAGTCTTTGCCCTCCCTGTGGCTTATGAATATTCTAGTGGGAGAAGATAGATGTAAACAAACTCATTTATTATATAGAATGTCATTTGAAGATAAGAATAAGGATGCTGACTGAAAAAAAAAAAAGCACAACCTAATAGTTGACAATTATGTTTTCTTTGGGGCTTTACCAAGGACTTTAGCCTGGGATACAGCCCCTCAGATACCTCTTTGGACAGTTCCAAAGAGGTAAGGTAGGAGCCAAGATATATAGGAGTTTTTGAAACCCCCCCAAAGAAAAAAACAAACAAGGTAACCCAACATCAAAAGATTACTGCTAATGGGACGTCCCCGGCGGTCCAGTGGTTAGGACTCTGTGCTTCCGCTGAAGGGGCCGCAGATTCAATCCCTGGTCGGGGAACCGAGATCCCATAGGCCACTCGGCATGACCAGAAAACAAAAGAAAACAAACAAACAAACAAAGAGGGACTCCCAAGTGTTTGGCCTGAGCAGTTGGAGGCATGGAATTGCCATTTACAGACATAGGGAGTGTTACTGAACCAAACTTGGGTCCACTTGCCCAGGCACAGCAAAGCCTATCTACTGACACTGGGCTGTGGTGAAGGAAAGCGCAGGGCCAAGCAAGGCATACAGGCAGCTAATGCTCAAAAGACCGAAACTGCCCGATGGATTTTTAAGGAAGGTTTTTAAAGGCAAGGTGAGGGAGAGAGTGGCAGGGTGTGTGATCAGCTCTTGCACAGTTCTCTGATTGGTCGGTGGTGAGGTAACAGGGTGATGTCACCGGGGTTAACATCATCTATCCTCAGGCTCCAGCCAGTCTGGGGGTTATGTGCTCATGGTCATCATGCAATTAGCTTCTTCCATCTGGTGGGGATTTTAGTATCTGCAAAACAATTGAGAAATGTGTGTCAGACTCTGTTATTTATGTTCTTTGGGGAGGAACTAAAGATTCTGTGACTCTGCTGTATAGCTAATCTATTTAAATTGTTACCAGTTCTCCCTGCCCAACTGCTATTTTTTTTCTTACTATGTGTTTACATCCTTCCAATCATTAATTCTTGAGCCAGTTTTTTGTGACTCAGGGGAGGCCTGGGAGACTAAAGCTTTTCCACAAAAAAAGAGGCAGGTAGAGGGCATGGAGGTTGGGGGGAGTCTGTCCTGGGAAGGTCCCATAGGGTCCTCTTGGTTACAGGAGCACTGAAGGAATAGAAAGTCTGGGATGGAACTCAGGAAATCAGTTTTGTGCATCTGAAGTTTGAGCTGTGATTTAATAGATATCCAACTGGAGATGTAACCTTGGCAGTTGCATATTCGAGTCTGGCATGAAAGAGTCTGGCAAGGTCAGGGTTGGAGGGAGAAAGTCAGGGAGAAAAAAAATTAAATCAGATTTACTAACCTGGATAAGAGTAACTATCAATCCATCCCTTTTCATGCATTCATTCACTCATTCACCCATGTAACCAGCAAATGTATAAAGAGCTACAGTAAGGAAGCAGGAGGTGCAGTCATGATAAAGAAGCGTCTGAGGTTTGAATTCAGATTGCCTGTTAAATGCAAGCTCCAAAACACATAATTGTGCTGTAAAAATCAAAGGTGAATCTTACTAGATTTTCATTGGTGAGGTCGGGGATGTGCTTTAGCAGTGGCAGCTCAAATGAGGAACCATCTATAAATATCTCCTAAGTAAATCTAGGTCCACAGTAATCTTCTCACATACAGGCCTTTTTTTAAAATATAAATTTATCTATTTAATTTATTTATTTTTGGCTGTGTTGGGTCTTTGTTGCTGCACGTGGACCTTCTCTGGTTGCGGCAAGCGGGGGCTACTCTTCGTTGCAGTGCGCGGGCTTATCACTGCGGTGGCTTCTCTTGCTGCGGAGCACGGGCTCTAGGTGCACAGGCTTCAGCAGTTGTGCCACACGGGCTTAGCTGCTCCGCGGCATGTGGGATGTTCCCGGACCAGGGCTCGAACCCATGCCCTTACATTGGCAGGCGGATTCCTAACCACTGTGCTACCAGGGAAGCCCAATACAGGCCTTTTTTTCAAATCACATTGCTCTTAATGAAACTAATGTAATAATGTAGTTTATAGGATGGATAAGTTTATCATCATTCTATTCAGACACGTTTATAAATTTCCTCTTATTTGCCTTCTATAAATAAACTCCATGTTCAAACCTATTAAGCTTTAGGAAATAAAACTCAATATCTATCATCTATGCAAGAATAGTAAAGTTGCATTTTTAAATATTGATAGTCATATTTAGTTTTAAAAAGATACCCTGACATGGCTCTCACTCTTTTCCTTTCACATTTAGTGTGACTGTTCTCAAGTAAGGTTAATAACTTATCAATAAGTATATTGCCACCTCCACATTGGTCAGTAATGTCAAAGAGCAAAGAATCTTGGTCCTCAGTGGAAGCAGAAATGTTACCTATTCACAGATGAAACCACAAAAATAAAAAGACACTCTGCATATTCTTTATTTGGGGTAAAAATAGAGACCTTTCAAGCACATTTTAATTTTTGTATTTTTATTTTTATTTAGAGATTACTTTGTTAGTTTTTGTAATCAAACCCATGTAGATAAGACCTTACATATTTAATACAGTATGTTACCCCTGTACAAATGGAAAAAATTTTGTTTTAACGTTTCTAGACCAATATAGCTGTTAAGTTCTGTACAGTGCCAACCCAACACATTACAACTGGGATACTTTTTCCAAAGTTGACAGCACAGCTAAAGTTTCCAAAAATTCCAATTTTGTGTATATACATATATATGTATATATATATATATATATATATATATATATATATATATATATATATATA